AAGGTCAGCAGTTTGAAACCACCAACCGCCGCACCAACCCACAGGAGCAGTTCTACCCCTATAGGCTCCTATAGGCTCCTATAAAGTCCTATAGGCTCCTACTGGGTCCCCATAAGTTGGAATCAACTTGGTGGCAGTGGGTTGGGTTGGGTTTGGTCCTTTGCCCTCAAGTTCAAGCCCAAAGGTCAGTGCAAGCCCAGCCGTTCCCCACCACCCAGCTCTTCCTCACCACCACCTCCCGAACCAGCTCACAGCTCCCTGAAGAGACAGAGCCCAACACCACGCAGGGGCTTCAGGGCCCTCTGCCATGGCCGCTCCTTCACAACAGGGTCCCCCTCTCGGCACAGCCCCACAGCCTGGCCTGCCCCTCCCACCACCCTAGGGACCTATCAGATCAGCCCTGGCCCCTGAGGAAGGGGCGATTCTCCTGTAGGGACTTGAACTCCAGAGATCTGCAACACATGACGGCTCAGCTGCTAACAGAAAGACTGGTAGTCTGAACCCCAGGGGCCCTCTTTGGGAGAAACTTGGGGATCGGTCGGCTTCCATAAAGATGAGTCAGAAGCCAAGCCCACTGCCATCATGTTGACTCTCTACAGGACAGAACTGACCCACAGGGCTTCCAAGGTCATGACCCCTACAGCAGCAAGCCGTCACATCTGCCTCCCAAGGAGCAGCTGGTAGGCTTGAACTGCCGACCTTCCAGTTAGCTGCCACGCTTACTCACTGCCCCACTGGGGCTCCATCAGTAAAGATCCCAAATCAAAATCAAACCACGACAGCGAGTTGCTTCTGATTCATAGGGACCTTATATAGGATTTCCAAAGACTATACATCTTTATGGGAGCAGACAAGCCTCATCTTTCTCCCGGGAGCGGCTGTTGGGTTTGAACCATTGACTGTGCAATTACGTCTAACCCCCAGAGCCAGCAGGGTGCAGATCTACGCTGTCATGTGGGCTCACTACCAGTTGAAATCAACTCACAGGCACCTGAAAGCCCCACGTTGCTGCCTTGCTGTGTGGCCTGGTCACTGTCCTTCTCTGGGCCTCCGTTTCCCTGTTTGTAAAGGAGGAAACGGCTCCTGGACCTCCTGCTGACAGCTGTGATACTGTGAGGTGCTGCACAGAGAAGGTGGAGGGGGAGCAAGGCAGAGAGGGCAGCACGGGCAGGGTTTGCTGCCCACCTGCACCCTATGTTTTTCCCGGTGTCACAATTCCTCCCCTGACCCCAGGTGCCCCGACCCCTGTCCTACAGCACAGACGCCTCTGCGCTGGCCAGCAGCGAGAATCCTCACAGGCGCAGTGGGGTCAGTCAGTACCTGTCAAGCCACTTCCCAGAAGGCCCCAGGGTTGCACCCTGATCCTCCTGCTCCCCACCCCCCAACACACACCTTTGGCTTCTGACCTGCTGCGTGACCTTGGCCACCCTCCTTCCTCGAGTAATGAAGGACCCTGAAGGCTCCAGGCCCCCTCCCAGCTTCCCACTGCAACCAGGAATAGAAGGGAGGGGCCAGAAGGCAGCATCCCCCAGCAGGCTACGCCCCCTCTGAAAAGCAGCCTACGGGCCCAGAGCACCCGGGCACAGCCTGGATCCACTCACACCAGGGGCTGACATGGACACGGAATCTGTAAAAGTGGGCCCCCAGTAGCGTTGTCTCAAAGGACAGGAAAACTACGCAGGAGCCACCTGGCATCAAGTCGGTGCTTAATAAACGGGGTGCAGTGTTATTGGCACTGCTGTTGGGATCGTTATTCGGTGCCTCTGCTCTGGTGAAAAGAGGCAGCCTCCCTCCTCCACCCCCCGCACCACCCCACTCCCGTTCTCCACAAGTGCCCTGCTGGAGGGAAGCTGGGCCACAGTGCCAGCAGGCCTGGCAGCCCACTCCGGAACTACTGGGCGCTGGGAATGAGCTGAGCTGAGGGGCTAAAGCGGTGGCGGGAGCCCCTCACCATGACCCTGGAAGAGGGGGTTCCCAGAGGCCCGGCTCCCATCACTCCCCCACACTTCCTCAGCTCTCCAATCACAGCTCCGGGCCCCTCTCTTCCAACCACAGGTGGCGGGCAGCCCAGCCTCCTCCGCACGATCCTCTGCTCACGGTTCCCACCCACATCCACTGAGTGCCAGCAGGGGCTGGCCCTGCGCTAGGCTTGGGCACACAGCCGTCCACAGGAAAAATGGGCCCCACCCTGCCCATATGCCTCACACAATACCCTCCTGGGCAGACTCACCCACTGGCGATCACCAAGGACATCGGTGATCGCCACTGCCAACGCGATGGGGGGAGACCCGTGAGCTGTTGTTATTGAGGGTGGTGGAAAGCATACGACATTTACAGCCTCTGAAGACCCCAGGCTCACAGTTATGGCAGTGCCAGGGTCTCCATGTGAAGATGGGGAGGGGAGGGCATGTCCAAGGTCATCCAGGCTATGAACCCAGATCTGACCCCTCTCCCAAACCTTGCTATGACCCCCACATGGCAACAGGCACCCTGCCCTCTCCCTACACACCCTCAATAGGACAGGACACTGGGGCTGCAGCAGGATGGCTGGGTTGTCCTGGGATAGCTCCTCCACTGAAGAGCCATGCTGATGTGTACCTTCAAGTTCAAAAGACCCGGCTTCAGGAATGGGGAGTGGAGAGTGGTTCCCTGGCCCCAAAAGGTAGGCTCAGTTCAGAGCTGGGGACCTGCCTCTGTCATAGCTGGTAGGGAGAGAAGCCTGGCCCCTCTCAGGAGCCCAGGAGCAAGAGCGTGGGGCTGTTCACGCAAGGTCAGCTGTTCAAACCCACCAGCTGCTCCACGGGAGAAAGACGAGGCTCGCTGCTCCCATCAGGACTGACAGCCTCAGAAACCCACAGGGGCAGCTCTGTTCTGTCTTGTAGGGTCGCTTTGAGTTGGAACTACCTCAGTGGCAGTGAGTTTGGTTTTTGAGAGATTGGGGGTTATCACCCCCACTTGGCTGATGAGAAAGTGAGGCCTTGCAGAGAGGGGAAAGTGATCGCCCAAGATCACACAGCCAGCAGGGAGCCCTGGAGACGGGGACCCAGGACTGTCCAACTCCAAAGGACAGGGGCAAGAGGG